TGCATTTGTTTGTTTATTTCCATTTTTTAAAAGGTACCATGAACATGAACATTAATCTTAAAGGATTATATGCTTTATGCCAGACTATAGCTTTTAGAGCAATCATTCATCTGCTGTCCCTCACACCTTGAACTGTGATACATTGACTGTTTTTTGCCGGATAAAAGAGTCATGCCAATTAATCAAGGTAATGCCAGCTCACCTGTTTGTTTAAAATGTCCTTTTTTATTTTTATAAAGCTTTAAATGCTGGATTGTTTTAAACTATTTTGGTAGGTTTCTGCATATAAAAAGTTTTTTTTTTGTTTGTTTCTTTCTTTTCAATTCATCTGTTTAGATGAGGTGTCATATTACAAACAATATTAAATAGTTAAAAAAGTTACGTATCTGATTCTTTTTCAATGATAAACACATTTGATCTGTCAATTATGATATTTTGGGGTTTATATTTTCATGGCTTCTGAGAGTCAGCAGGTAAATAGTTGTCTTATTTGCCTTTAGCCAGCATTATATACCTACACAAAAGTAGAGTATGTAATGCAGATTAGCAGGGAAATGTTATATTTCGAAGCATTACAATGCAATTAGCATAGACAATCGCTGAACAAATTAATATGCTGTGACCCTTACAGCCTCTGAACTTAGGGGAAGTAGATGTATCTGATTTGGGATCCTAAACTTGCAATTTAGCTGACTGGCTTCTATCTAGTAAAGTACATCATGCTTTAAAAGGCATCAAAAAACAACAACAACAAAGAAAAAAAAAGTGCTAGCGTGCCTTCTTGCAGAACATTATACATGTCTAATAGTGTCTGCCTTGGGTTTTTTTTTTTTTTACACAAAAATATCTTTTACATTCAATTAATAAGATCATAAGGAACATTCATATCTTTGATATAAGATGGAGCTTGGCCATTTAAGGCTTTATATGTGAGATGGAGGATTTTAAATATATTCTGGATTTAACAGGAAGCCAATGAAGAGAAGCCAGGGTTTTAATTTTCATCAGAACTCTGGCTGCAGCATTTTGGATCAGCTGAAGGCTTTTAACTACAGTTTATGGACTTCCTAATAGTAAAGAATTACAATAATCCAGCCTTGAAGTAGAAAATGCATGGACTAGTTTCTCGGCTTACCCCCTGGACAGGATATTTCTGATTTTTGCAATATTCTAGAGATGAAATAAATTCTTGAAACCTATTTGATATGGGATTTAAATGACTTTAAATCAAAAACAACACCAAGATTTTTTTACTTTATTATCTGAGATCAATTTAATCCCATCCTTATAATTAAAGGTGCTGTTTCATTTGCTATCCACCCTTTGTTTTAACCAAACCACAGGCATTATCTCTGCCATACTTATGACCCAGACTTGTGTTAATATACAACCAAGCAGGGAGGATCATTGCAGCCACTTCCTCTTATAACTAAGGGGGCAGAGCTACTCAACGAGACATGTACGGTATCTATTTAGTGGTGAGAGCTTTTGAGCGTGTTCATTTATGTGAATGCACCATTGTCATCAGAGAACACCTCCAGCCTGCAGTAAAGAAGCAATCATGGGTGTTAAGAAGCAGCTGTTGTCCTTCAGCCGCATGTCCCTCCCTTCAGTTGGATTCGTGTTAACCTGCATTGGAGCCTACCTGGTGTCCCAGCAGGCAAGATATGATGGAAGGATGGTCCCTGTTTACGTCATGATTATCTTTGGCTTCCTGGCCATGCTCATTGGGATGTTCTGGACCATCTGCCACACCATGAAGAGCAAGTTGTACAACAGAACTAGAGTCAACAGTCACGAGAGGCAAATCCAAATCTTTACAGTTGAGAGGTGCAGCAGACGGTAAATTCTCATTGATTTAAAAATATATTGCTGAAATGTTCTTTTATTACATTTGAATATAAATGGTGTCTTTAAAAACACAAACTCCCGTTTGAAATGTATACCGAAAAACCAATTCTATCCTAACTCGGATCTTCTCTTCAGCAGGCCAAGCTCCTTCCCTCCGTCATATGAAGACTCTCAGAGTCCCAGCCAGGTCACTCCCAGCACCCTGCATGAAGTGGTTGTATCAGTTGAAGGAGCTTACATGGTTTGGGGTCTTGCACCTCCACTGTACACCGAGAACAGTTCAGAGAGCCCAGACTGCAGGTGGAGCTGGGAGCACCCGCCTCGATACAGTCTGGTGGAGCACACTGAACCTCGACAGACTGATGCATCAGAGTGAAGAGAAATGTTCTTTCTACACTGAAGGAGAACCTGTTTTTTTAACTAAATGTTCAAGAGTGAGGATTGCAGTCCAGGAGAGTGCTACTAAAAAAACAAAAACGATGGATACGACATCTTTTGACTTTGCTCTACTGCAAAATGACAGAGCCTGCAGCGTCCGCACCCAGTCTGCACAATCTCAGTGGACCCATTGATCTGGGACTTCACAGGGTAAAAACCTGTTGCTTTGGAGTGAAGCGTGTCCAAATGTTAATAGAGGTATTTTGCTTCTAGATTTATAAAGCTTTTATCAAGCAAACTAGCCTAGGCACCTTGTATTTGTAATGTAACCAGTTTGTGCTGGATGTCCATCAGGCCTTCTTGGACACTCAGAAGCTACCATACGGGAACTGAAAAACACCAGTACTGGTTAAATCTAAGATGTTTTACAGAGTAAAATCAGAAAAATACTTAAAGATGTTGCACAGATGTGTTTAGAGTATATTTAGATGGTCTCAGACTCATTTCAGTGTTATTTTTATATATAATTCAATTTTTTTTGCTGTAGTAAATGAAGCAAAAATGAATTTATCTAAGGCCTCTTCTATATTAAACTAAAATTCCTTTACCAAAAAAAAAAAAAAAACTCAGACCAATTAATTTAAGCTACAATTAACTTGACTTGCAATTAAATAAACCATACATAACTTAAATAAAGTAATTCAAAACATGCAATTATAATTCTCAACACCAAATATGATCAAATATGTTCAGCTTTTAACCCTTTTTAATATAAGCATAACGAAAAAAAATCTATTTTTAAACCATTATTTTTCAGTGAAACATTGATCATTATTTTTAAAACTAAAATAAATATGGAGAGACCAATGCTGAAATGCAGGAATGTAAAATAAAGTTTTATTTGTTGTATTTTGGGCACCCTCTGTCATGTCTTTAATTTTCTGATCTTTATGCTGCATTATTTTGCTATGTTCTGAAATAGAAGATTTGTAAATTAAAATATACTTTTATAAAAAAAATATATATATAAATAATTTAACTTCTGGCTGCTGTATTTTTTTTTTATTTATGTCATTTATCCATGCATAAATTCAGATTCAAAACTATTTTGTTTAATATATCAATTTAAAAAAATGCATCCATGAGAGAAATTAAACTAACATCTTTTTCCTCTAAAACATCTGACTTTTAAAGACTCATTGGTTGATCAAAGCAAAAAACTAAACAAATATACATAAACATGCATAAACAAAACAAAAATAACAAAAAAAAAAAAATTTCCTCTGTATGAGCTTAACACCCAACATAACATTTGGCACTCTGTTCAAGACCATTAAATATATGGCTGACATAGAGAGCTGTAACTTTAAAGTTAATTTTAAAATAAAAAGTAATCAGTGCAGAGGTATTGAAACAGGATTGGTGTGCAAACTGTTTTGTCTTTTTCAGCTAAGGAGTTTTGAATCTGTTAGAGGGTATTTTTTTTATGTGTGTAAAAATAGTGTTACAATGATCTAATGATAGGAAACAAAACCACCAAATAACAACTTTACGTTTTTGCTTTGAAAATAAACTTTTTTTATTAATGTCTTTTTTTTCTGAGAGGATAAAAACTGTTTCTGAATACAGAGAGAAGGATAAGGGAGAATAAGAAAGCCAGAAAAGATGAGTTTGACACAAATATAGGTGCTGATTTCTTATTGCCTGCAAAATATTCTATTTTTGACCAAGTTGTTGTTGCATTAAAAGGCTGCAAACAGTAAAAAAATATATGAGTCATGAGGTCAATGGCAATATAAGCTCAGCAGAGTTTCTAAAGAAACTTTTATGGAATATTTTCTGTTGGGTCTTTCAGGATAGTGTCATTTAGGTCCAAAACACCTGATGGAACACTTTAGCACAATAAACATTCAAGTAAAACAGTAACCAACATTTTTATAGCCAACATGTTTCTTAGAACATTATCAACGTGTTTAAGATGCCTATTTTCTTAATTACATGACTACTTTTATGATGATTTAGTTTCTAATTTGATTATGTGTAAGAATTCATCTTAAAAAGGTCAGTTTGAAGGATTGAAGCACATCTAAAGATAAGTAACATCACCAACAACTCATAGCATCATAAAGGAGTCAGAAGGAGCAATAAGCTGTACGGACAGATAGATAATGTATGAATGGCTGAGTGAAAACATCCTTTCGGATATCCACTGGCATTATCCTCAAATCAAAATGACGGCAATCAGGGTGTTTATGACATCCTGCTGTCTGCATCTCAATGGAGCGGTATAAAGATCAAACCTCATAACTTCTTATCAGAACACAACAGCTTCAGTTTGTTTCCTGCTTGACTGGAAAACATGTGCTGTTAAAGCACAGTGAACATGTCTTATCAATGGGGAAACTTTGCTGATTTACAAAAATGCTAAAGGGCAACATGGAAAATCTCTGAAATATGTGTTTTTAATTTTCCAAGAAGACAAACAATACACATTAAAAGGTTGATTTGCATGACAAGAGATTATTATTTTTTTAATGAGAAAAAGGATATAGTTGAATAGTTAAGAAAATGTAATTTTTTCTTCTTTAAGGATCACTTTGCCTTAGAAAATAATCGGTTTAGAATAACACATTTTGCAGTTCCATTTGCTTTACTGACTGCTCCAATGGAAATAATTAAAAATATTTAAATCCTTTAGGGAAACAATAGAAAGCAATGAAAATTAAACTAAAAAACAAAACAAAAAATTTAGAAGTTTGCAAAGAAAACAATCCAGAAACAAAAATATTCTGTCTTAAGGTTTGCATTTATTGTTAACATAATTTCCAATATTTATCAGTTGCATTATTTAATTTCACCTTTCAGTAACTGATTATCACAGTGGAGAAAAACAAACATAGATTTGTGGCTGACAGCATGTTTGTCTTTAGGAGACAATTTCCAACAGAAATAAAAAAAAAAAATCCTCAGGTTATTTCTTATTTAGGGGAAAGTGAAAAACTAAGCTGAAGCTGCAAGAAATGCAAGAAAAGTACATATATATTTTATGAGTGTGAGCAGGTATGCATATATTGTGTGTGTGAGTGTATATCTCCCTTTTATCCTTTTAGCTCATGTGATGACGTTTGGGCCACGGCGTCCTGTCCTTTCATGAATGTTGGAGATCTTCAGGGCGATGGCAATGAGAGGACCCAGAACCACCTGGAGAGGGAAGTCCAGAGTTATTATAACAAAACATCATCTTCTAACATTTCACAATATCACTATTGTTCAGGGCATAACTCCTCTTCAATACACCAAAAAAGATAAGACCATTAAAAAAATGTACCTTATGTTTCGTTTATTCATATATTGAGGATCTTTATTGTTCAAAATAGACATAACTGAGAAACGTTAACTTCTAGTCATACAATACTTTGTTCTTTTAAAATGTATTAAATAGAAAATAGAAGGGCTGCAACTAACGATTGTTTTGGAAATCGATTAACTGTCGATAATTTTTTCGATTAGTCAATCAATAATAGCCAAATGTTCCTTAAAGAAAACTTTTTACAAAATTAAACCAGGAGAATCTAAAACTTTTCTACTTGAGGAATTCTGGATTTTGCCTATGGACGGATTAAATTGTTTATTTTTTCTTAAATGCAAAATTTTTACATATTATTTTGCAACTTTTATACAATTACTGCTTTAAGTGGGTCGTTCTGTCAGCTAAAGTTATATTTTACAGTCTCTATACTTCAGTAAACGATTAATCGATTACTAAATTAGCTGACGATTATTTCAATAATCGGATTGCATGATTAATCCGGTTAATGTTTCAGCTCTAAAAAATAAATAATACTATTTTTAGGATAAAACAAAACTATTAATTTATAAAAGGCTTTTGATCAATTTTAAATTACATACATTATTTCTCTTTTAACACATATAATCAAGTCATTTTTAAATGGAGCTTTCTTGTCTCACCTATTCATAAACTAGTCCAATCTATGCTGCAGATCCTGTATTGGCACCATAATACCTCAGTCAGGGACCTAGTTACCTGGACCAACACCGATTAAGCATTAAGCATTCTTGACCTTACATTTCTGGTGATTGCATAATTAGAGGCTTGAACTCTTATGCTCCATGTCTTGATAAGGAAAGGCCACAAGTTTTACTGCAACCAAGCACAAAACTAAACAGAGTAGAAAGATTTCTGAGAAGATAACCTGGTTAAAGTTAGAGAAACTCCAAACCTTATATCAGGATTTCAGACAGTTTTGTCTGGTTTTGTTACACAGAGCAGACATTTATTAGAGACATAGAAATAATCGCAGATTAATTTAAAGATCCATTGCAAGTCAACAAGCACTTCCCAAGTCATGTGAAGTCGTGACTTTGTCTGAAATGTCTTACGGCTGTTACATTTTTATATCAGTAATCCACACAGTACTCAAAAACTTAAGCACAAGACCAAGATCTAATGATCTGAAGAATCTCTAATCTGGTTGGATAAGCAGGATTTTTAATTGTGGGTGTTCTGAAAGATAATTTTTACCTATCAGGCAAGCAGCTGAACGATTGCATGCTAAGGTGGTGTGAATAAAACAGATTAAAAGAATAAGATACCAAATGACGCTGAACAGTCACTGTGACTTCAGCTTTACAACAGCTAACAGTGTTTACATACTTTGCTCAACACAATAAATTTTTTTGTATTTTTTTAATAGATTTTAAACAATCTAAGTTTGATTACCAACGCTTATATACTACAGTATACTCCATATACCTTTGTATCTACAGTAAAGATTCACGTTAGAATTATTATATATTATTTTTGTACACCAGAAGCATAATTTCTCATTTCCCTTAACACCAATTCACCTGTGGTGGTTGCTTGTTTGTTTTGTTTTTTTAATTCAGATGACTGCAGCTATGGGCAACTTTTACTGAGACGAAATTTCTTGTTTCCATTTTCCAAACATCGAAACACACGTGCCTCTTATATTTCCTACTTTAGAAAGGGATTCAGGGGACACAGTTTTTTTAATCAAACATGTAACAAAAAGTGTTTTACAGAAGTTGGTAAACAGACTGACTTAAAAACAAGTAAAAATCTGTCTTATATGTGGGGTAACTGATGAAATGCAATTTTAAGATAAGTGAAAAATTTAAAAAGAAAACATAAATAGATATTTACACCACAAATAAAAAGTTAAAATAAATTGATCAAACATTTGTGATAAAGTCATAAAATATTAATCCTAATTTGCCAACATTTTTGTTTAAAAACAATAATATAGCCATAAAAAAAATAAGAAATATGTTAGTGTGAGTCAATTCTGTAATAAATATCAAAGATAAGCACTCTAAAATTCATGTTAAGCACGCATCGATAAGGCTCAATTCATTCATGGGTGCTTAAGTTTTATTAATTCTTTATCTTTGACATAGCCATAACATGTTTTAGATGAGATATTAATGATATCAATCACAAAACAATCCTTCATTATCAGGAAGAAAACACAGTTGTAAAGTGGTTCACCCTTGTGGAAGGTTGCAGGTGGAATTAGGAGAATATACACAGGTCCTTCTACACATATATACAGAACAAATAACTCACAGCCCCCCTACCTGAGTCTCCCTGCTATGTCTCTCAGGGTCTCTCTCAAAGCTTTCTGCATATATACGTATGGTGGCACCCATCCCACCACCGCTCCCACTCATCCGAAACACGAGGCGGGAAGAGTCACTGAAGATAATCCTTATTCCCTTGAATAAAAAATAAATAAATTACAATTACAATTTTTTCTTTAAATAGGAGTCTGAAAAAAAAATAAAATGTAAAGTTGTTTCAAACCAACCAATCTTCTTGGTTAGCTGTATAATCCTAATAACACCACAAACAAGATGAAATGTTCATTCATTAGGATCAGCATCCCTCCTGTTTTCACTCTGATGCACAATAAGAGTAAAAGTCCACTAGATGTCGCTGTCATTGCTTCTTTTGCTGGGATTGAGTTTACAACATATGAATTCAGTTGAAATGTTTTTGACATTTTGATCATTATAGACATGGGTACAGGGCCAAAGCAACTATTTTAATATAATATTTTAATATAAAATGTATTTAGGCTATGATCGACTATTTGGATCTAAGATCTGATGTTGAAGTGAAAACATTTAAAGGACCGTTTGCTCTAATCCTCCTTTCTGCAAATACAGGCTATGGGGTAGTTCAGCATCTAACCTGCATGCTAATATTAAGGAGATACTTAACTTTTCAAAGATTTATCAAAAGCAAAATGCAGCAACAGTTCAGTTCAGTTTTTAAGATCATTAGTGAAGTAAAAGTAACATGGATACATAAACAACTTTCAAACCCTTTTCCTTGCTGATAAACAGACATCTCGGGAAAACTCCAATTCCTCACCGTTATGATAGGAGGAAGGGAGAGTGTATTTTAAAAGACACGGTGATAATGAGAGATGTCCGCCTGACCTTCTCTGTATCTGGGAGTGTGCTGGCTCATCTCTAACAAAGAGCAGCAGTTATCAGTCTGCTGACAGACTGCTGCTTGTGAAAAATACCATCTGCTGGAAAGCTTGCAGACTAAAAGAGGGAAACATATCTGTCATCTACAGCTACAACTTTCAATGTGTTTTATTGGGTATTATGTGGGAATGTAAGATGATGTCTTTATTATTAATTAAACCAAGGACAGAGCAAATTGTAATGGTTCTCCCCTTTGGACTTCTTTTTGAGTTTTCAGTTACTTATGTCATTCTGTTTTATTCGTCATTGGTTTCTTTTCCATCTTGTGTTATATTTAAACAGTGTTATATTTTTTGAGTTACTCTCTGGTGCCTCCTTGTGCCAGTCTCTTCAGTGTCTCCCTGCTAGTTACTTCTACCCACACCTGTTCCCTATTAGCTGATTAGCTCATTCTTTGTTCTGTCCCCCATATATACACCTGCTGTTCAGATCCCCATTTCTGGTGTCATTGTTTTGCTTCTCATGTGGGTTTTCCCCTCATATATCCTGGCTTTTGGTTTTCTGTATTTTGTTTTTGAACATTGCTTCTGTTGCCTTCAGATTTTTATTAAATCAGTAAAAACTCATCTCTGTCTCCTACAGTGTGTTTGGGTCCACATACACAGATATTTAGGAGCTGTAACAAAATATTATCAATGATGATAATGTTGATTTGTTCACCTCACACTTCTCTAATAATTTTTACATGCAAATTAATTTGATAAGATAGATAATTTTTGCATAATTAGTAAACAAAATCTACTTGTGTGCACTGTCATCTTGGTCCACATGCAGTTCTGGTGCATATATCATAAGGATCGAGGAACACGGCAGACAGGTCAGGGGTAAGAAAGTGGAGATATTTGAAGCAGCATTAGGTTGAAAAAACAACATTCCAAGCTTTGAGCATCTCATGCAGGGCTGTTGAATCCATCAACTGAAAATGAGAGGATTGACCTAACCGTAAACCTCTCCAGACAAGGCTATCCTCCCACAGGGCACCTCCATGTTACAAATTACAGAGTGGCAGATAGAAAGCCATCGTTGCAAGAAAGACACATAGGTTCTATTAACGATTTTTGTATTCAGGAAAACTGTGCACTGGATAATTGCTAAATGTTTGGGTCAGAGAGTTAAAAATAGGCAGCAAAAAACATCAAATAGTATACAAGTAGTGTTAGAATAATTTTCTTCATCAGTGAGGGAAAGGCTAATCATGAAACACCAACAATCCAGGAGGAAAAGAAAAGATTTAAGACTGAGGTAAGAATTTGGCAGCCCAGGAGGATCACAACCTTAAATAAAAACAATGTTAAAGAGGAATGGCTTCAATTAAAACATGATAATGTTTTAGAATGTTACAGACCAGACATACCTCTATTAGAGATTCTGCAGTAAAAGCTGCAAAACTGATGCTCAAAGATGCTATCCATCCAGTCTGAATGTGTGTGGGACATTTTGTTAAGTAAAATAAAAATACTTTCTGTTAGACATGAAACTACAGTACTTGAATACAGACCTTTAGCTGCAATTGCAACGAGATTTGTTTTTTAAAGTATCGGCTGTGATTACATTTGAGAAACAGTTGCAAAATGATGTGTATTCTTTTTCTTTCACCTCGAAATATGCTGTACAGTGTCTTGGCCTGTCACAGAAAATCCATATTAAATATATTATATTTGACATTTTAATGTTTCATAAAAGGAACTTGAACCAAAGCGGTTGTGTTAAAAATCTGGTACGAAATTATTTGCGAGACATGAAGAGAATGTCCACAATAGTCTCTGCTTTTATGCTCATTTACAAATCAAATATAACGCAAATGTAAAATGTTTTTTCTTGCAAAATCTGTTTGAATCCAGAAGATAATTTAAAGTTAAATAAAATGATAATCCGCCTTAAAAAGTAACATAAAAAGTTTAAACTAAATCACCTATAAAAAGCTTATCTGGGGAAGGAAAGTCGAGATAACGACTAAAAGAAAAGACGCCAGTGAAATATTTTCCAAAAGCAGACAGCTGAATCTGAGGGTTTAAATCCAGCAGGTCTCTGTCTGAAATGCAGACAATGCCAGATGAATTCAGTAGCCAACAACAGAAAGACTGCCATGCGACTGCAGTGTAAATCCTCCAAGCGTTGTTTGGCACACTCTGTTTGAATGTGTTTGTCTCTGTTCGCCCACTTCCTCCCCCATGTGTGATGGAGACACTGCAAGAGAGACGACAGCTGATATAATTCTGTCCTGGGAGGAATGCGCTCTGTAAAAACATTCGCTTAGGAGCCACTGACTGGGTTGCTGGGGTTTTATTTTTTGGGGTTTCCGACTAACTTGTGGTAATCCTGTATCCGCTTGTATTTTTGCTTTTGCATATAGAGGCTGAAATGTTTGGTGAGAGTGGGCATACATGTGGGATGATATTACCCAAAATAGGGCAGGAAGTAAACCTTGCAAAACAAGGTTGAGGGTTAGAAGTTATTGTAATGTTAGTTTTTTTAAGAAATGCCCAATGATCCTATGTTCATCTCCTAAACAAGAACTGAGAAATTTGACTGTGAAAACCTGAAAGAAAAGAAATGAGTTAAACAGATAAAAATGTTAATAAGCAAACATTTTGGCAGTGTTTGTGGGGACCTAAACTACATGTTATGTGTGAATAGAGAGTTTATGATATAAAACGACAGATAAGATGTTCATATCTAAACATGGCGCCTCGCAGTGGGTGGTCTGGAGGATGAATGGACAAAGAAGAGGGAATCAACAAACATAAAGTAATAGAGGTATGAGACCCTTCTATGTCCATTTAGAATTTTATTGTATTTTTCAAACCTTATTTTTTTTCTCCAATACCATAGAAATGTTTTTACAAACACCATAAAATGAAGTATTTTTCATTTTACTTTTTTTCCTGAAATTTTTAATATTCTTTTAATTTAGTAGTAAAAGTTATCTCCATTTTGGTGCCATTAACTACTAATTAAAAGCAGTCTTCCAATGTGCTACCATTGAAAAAAAACAACTTTATTTCTATTTTTTAAGAATTTGTCAGTTTTAGTAACACTGATTATATCCTTATATGGCAGCTAATAATGGTTGGGATACATGAGGCTGCAACTGAACCTTGTGCTCTTAAAATGAATGTGTTGAATGCAAAAACAACAAGACTTGTAATTTTTTATTAATATGGTGAACTTAATGGTTCTAGTTTTAACAGCCCCTGTGGTGTGTTACGCTACCATAACTTTAAGAAAAATACTAAAGTTATGGGATTTTAGAAGAACAATGAGTAAGAGAAAAGATAAAAAAAAACGTCTGTAAAACTCTTTTAGTATCTGAAAAAAAAACAGATTATAAATATTAAATATTTTTTCAGTGTTAGATTTAGCGAACCTTTTCAGCACAACTTGTATATTTTGCCAAAGACCATTACAGGTTATACCGAAACATAAAAATGTATAAAGATAAAACACCTTTATTATTATTTCCTATTTGTATATTGCAACAATGATTTGTTAATCTTCCTTCTGAAATGCAAAAAAAATAAAAATTTCCTCTACAGATCAGTTTTTATGTCACATGCAAGATTTGGAGCAGTTCTGTGCTGACCTGGTTCCGAGCGACTGTCCCGTCCACTGGGTCAATGTACTCAAAGTTCTCGGCCCGCTCCACACTGTAGACATGGTCTCCCACAGCAAACTTCTGACTGCAGAAAGTCTTGTCAGAAATGACCGTCTCCAGGTCCCTCATCAGGTAAAAGGCCGCACGTGGGTCCAAGCCTTCATAGTCAAACCTGAAAATCAGAGACAATTGCAAACGCACAGATTTAAAACAGGTATTTGTATTTTTAGAAAACAAAATAAGAAAAACTTAAGCAATGGTGATCAAACAGTTTTAAAGTTTTCATTAAGTTTTAATTCCTAATGAATCTTCAGATCTGGCCAACTTTGCACTATTTCATTAACAACACATTTAATTTATCTTATTTTGTCTTTAAATTCAATCTGAAATTAAAGAAAGAAATAGGAATTAATATAACTAATGGCTAACTTATTGTTCCAAAATGAGATATTCTAAAATCCATTAAAAGGCTAGAGATTATCAAAAAGTTGATTCGTGAATGACGTATCCTTTCTGGAAATGTTGACAGATGTTTTGAAGATCATAGTCCTTATCCTAAATCCTTTTTCTTTGCCAATTATATCTCATGGGAAATGTTCATTGTTTATAAAAGCTCTTTGTGGGAACATAAAGTACAAATCTGCAGTAACTATCAGTGGAAACTCTGTAGAAACACTGGGGAGATGATCACTGGGGAGAGGGTGAAATAAGGAGAAATGTATGGGCACAAACATCAGTCATATACTGCATGTTTTTTGCTTTGAAATCAGAATGTGTAGTTATATTTGAAGTTTTTCACTTCCTAAACCAACATGTTTGAGAATTTTATCTTGGTGCATCCATAAAAAGAGTGTGTGTGTATTAAAAGGTTTGCATTTGTAAATAAAAACAAGGTGCAAACTTTTTACACAATAAATTTTTTTGAGCAGTTTCATTTTTATGCTTTTATGGTCTAATGACAAATAGAAAAAAATCTATGTATCATGCTCAATGTTCAAGTTATCGGACTTGCATGTAAGTTTCAATATGTTTGGGTGAATTTTGGCCGCTGTTTCTTCTTCTTATCTGATCTGTCAATGTCAATTATAATCTGACTATCCAATCAAAGAACAAAAGAGTTTGGCATTCAGGTTGACCTAAACTGCAGATCCTGGAAGAGGTACATCATTACAATATTTTTCTAGTTTGGAGTCGGCATCTTATTTTCAGTGAATGCAGCATTACTTAATTTTTTTATTTTTTTTTTGCAGAGGTTTTGCGTTACCCTTGGTTTTTTGGCCATTTCATTGCATTCAGTGCATTCACGTGATTGTTAAGCATTTGCATCCGTCAGACACTGATAACAGTGGCAGCTGTGTGAAAAGCAGCTTAAAATGCAATATAGCAAATATATTCAAAACTGTGCTTAAAGGAAAGTCTGCACTATTAAAAACTTAAGATACTAGCATTAGCTAAAAAAAAAAAGTATTAATCATGAAAAAATTTAATAAAATGCATCTGGGGATTTCAGAAATATATATATATATATATATATATATATATATATATATATATAGTTTTTCTCTGGTGAATTCAGTTTTGCAAAAGCATTAAAGTCTAATAAACATACAATCTTCTCCTAAATTATAGTTTTTATTTCAAATGATACAAATTATTAACAGAACATTGTGTAGGCAAAAGTGTACTTTTACAGCAATTACAATTCTAATATGTTAATATAATATATTTGATTATGTAGTTCAAAATTTTAAAAGACAAAATAAAAATATAGACTATATCATAACCCTTATACAGGGAATAGATAAGCATGCAGATACATATTTCAAATAAATAAATATTTCAGTAGATTCCGAAAAGGACTACTGCAGAATCAAAGATGAACCAGTAGTATTTCTGTTCAGACATGTGCGAATAGACAAATAATGCAGTGACAAGCCCCACCTACTTGGCTAGCATAATAAGCTGATCTAACTGGAGCTTATACGGTAATTATCTAATATGTTAACATGACCATTTTAGCTGCTTATTGCAAATATTTATGTTTAAAATGCATCACACTATTTCCATTTAGAATCAACCAGTTAAATGAAAAGATGAAAATTCATGAAGATAAGTTAGATCACTATAGTAAACACAAACAGATGACTGAATGTGTAGAGTACGTCACCTGCAGAAGTAGTTGCGTCCAAACCTGGCCCAGTGCTCCCTGACAATCTGCTCCACACCTTGTTTCCTGGCTGCCATGATGGACAACCACGCCAGCACTGACCACAGGCCATCTTTTTCACGAATGTGGTCAGAACCTGAAGGAAAAAAGGATATTACATATCCTAGGTTCAAACATTCAAAAAGATGCGTTGTACTTAATAATCACAATATTAAAGTAAATAAACAGCACACATCTCTTATCATGCTGCCTATAACCTGTTCTGCTGTATGTGTGCAATCTTGGAAATTAGGATGCTTGACTATAAATGATCTGCTGTGGTTGATGATCCTCCCACCACATCGTGTTAGTATTTCTTTCTTGCTTTATATTATATTACTGTTGATATCTTTAAGTTGGTTATTTCTCTTAGACAGGTATTTTCTAATGGGTCCACACTTTAGTTAATGTCTGTCTAAATGGTTTATTTACACTTGTTTTTTTGTTTGAGGTGCTGCTGATACAAACTAGCTGGAGGAGGAAACCTGGAGCATACCATTTGGTTTTTGAAAGACTGACTGGGGAGACTTGTTTCAAGTTGTTTTTAATAAGTTAATTTTGTCACTTAAATACTTACTTATTATTGTTTCCGCTAAGTAAAAGTTAGTTTTGCTTTATGTGTTTCATAGAATGCTTTAGTTAATTTTGTATTTATTGGTTCTTTTTTTATGTCGTGCCTCCCTCATGTGGTAGACTTGGCTTACTCCATCCCTATTTAAGCAGCCTTTAGTTCTTTGTTTGCAGGTAAGTTTTGTTTTGTGTTAAGTTAGAGTTTGTTATTTATCCTTGGATTTATTCTTACTTGAAATCTTTGTTTTGTTTACCATTTTTGGAAGAATTTAATTGAATTATTTTCTACTTTTAACATTCTTTTTTTGACCTTGTTGAGTCTGGTCCCCCACACTTGCATTAATGCAAACATACTATTAATGCAGAAACAAACTTTCCCTTGAAATTTGAGGGAAAGTTTGCAACCAAATCAGTTCTTTCTGAACCTTATATTGCTGATTTAAAAAAACAGCAGCCTCATGAACAGCTTTCTCTTGTCAGACCAGCCAGCGTGCAGCTTCTCTCCAATATAAAAACAATGGCTCACCTCATAAAGCAGAATAATAAACATGGCCTGCTTGAGAGCTAATCATTTATAATAAAAGAACAGAGATGTTTTCTTTACGACAAACACAAATGTAAGTAAATGATGTGTGTACTTTAAGTATGTATATATATATATATATATATATGTATTCAATTGACCAACATTATATTTGACTTTAAATGAAAATGAAAATACAATAGTAATGTTTTGCTTCACAAAATAGAGGTAAAGTAGAAGTAAGAAGATAATAAATGATGGTAGATATTGAAGTGGCAAGCTGACCCATATCGATCTCTGTTGTATTTTAGAAAAGAGTTATAAAGACAAAGACAAACATACCAACACAAATGGGGTCTGCTGTTACACATGTTCACACACGCAAGAAGATCCCCCCAAAGAATATTTCACAAGGGGGCTGTTAACAGAAACAGCTGCACAGCAAAAGGTATCTCAAAGGTTAAGAATGTGACAGTAATGTTTCCATGCAAAAGCTTAAAGAAGGACTGAGCCATTTCTGGCTTTCTGCCTAAGTCCTTTAAATATAACAAACATAAAATGCCTGAAATTGCCTTTTTGCCTCATTTCTTTTTGTAAATAAGCACTTATAGTCATGTTCCTCAGCAGACAATGAAAAGAGGAGAGGCACAGTTGGTCCGTGTGTCTGGCTCCATCAGCGTACAGTTGTTAGGAAACTGACAGTTGTGATTATCTAATCCCAGCTTTACTGTCCGTCTACTCTTTTGTCTGTCACTTGCTGTGAAGACGAGTCAGAGAGGGTCACCCAATAAAACAGACTCAAGATCTGTATCATCAAAGCACAGCTGCACTCATTAATGAGTCCTCACTGCAGTTCGGCTTTTCTTTTCAACTCAGCGCTGCCTCTTCATCACCTGCTGCTACTGTAGGAAGCCTTCAAAACATCTTAACAAAGGCTTTATTTTAGATATTTTAAAAAACAGCATCTTAAGCCATATTCTGAAAGGTTGAAAACAATTTTCTGCTACTATTTTGAACAATTTGCACGATATCTAGCAGATTATTCAATAGTAACCTGAAGATTTTCTTCTTTTATTCTTTAGATCAAAGGCCAGAGTAAAGACAGTTACAATGCGCAGCCAAGTTGCTCATAACCACCTGAACTGTCCGGGCTCATGCTCTCTTGGTGTATTGGAGTTAGTAAAGAGCAGGAGTGCTGCCCGGCTCTGATGATTTAGTCAGCAAGGCTCTCTCTAAGCTTTTTCCCTTACATGGATAGACAACGAGTAAGCTCCTGAAGTCCTCAGGGCTCTCCAACTCTCTGTTTATTCTCCCCTCATCGTGGTAAACGCCTTTGCTAGTCCATCTGTTTTCTTCTCTCACGTTCTCCCTGCCAAGCATTTTTGTATTTTAACCCCCACAGTTAAGCTGTTTGTTCCATAAAATTTAAACAATTTGAAAAAGTGAAATGATTTAGGACAAAGAAATGTATCCTGATAGGTAAAGTTGAAGGCTTGATCACCAGCAGGAGCAATAAGCTCGCCTCATCATTAAGTGTTCGAGTGTGGCTGGATTTGAATTTACTAAAAAACAATTCCCTTGGAGGCTTGTCGGCATGTTGTGGTGATTCACGGAGCCCCTGTCTCCTTTTATAGCAGAGGAATGAGGATTATTTACACATGCGGTCAGGGTCACAGCCCTATCATCTATTAGAGTGCTCTGACTGGAGCTGAAGGCAGCCAGGATGCACTGCTTACAACTCTAGACCTGAAATAGACTGGAAGAGAAGCAAAGCTGTGATATTTAGGCTGACACATGATCAGCTGCCTATTTGACAATTCCTCCATGATTATTTGGGTCCTGTGAGGTATTCACATTTTTTACCCTTCAACTGCAAATGTGAATATTTTTTACCATTATTTTATGAGATAGAAAATCATTAAAAAAAAACAGAAATGAATAGGCTGTAAATGGTTGTGTTTTGCTGTGGATAAAAAACTGAATAGTAAACTGAATAGTATGGTATGCAACTGTTGTTAACACATTTTGTAACAAGAAATTCACTGCAATCAATTCCCAGTGGAAGGCACCAACTTAGTTAAGAGATTCTGAGGACATAATTGAACAAACAGCATCACCAAACCAGGGAACGCAGCAATCAGAGGTAGTCTTAAGGAATAGTTTAAAGCAGCAGGGTTAGATCAAACTTAGAATATCTGTTCTGTTTGATATTTCACCCAAAAAAAAAGAGTATGATTAAGCTTAATATAATGCTGACAACCTTGAAGGGGAGCATAAGTCCAAGAAGAAGGTGCAAGAAAACTCTGGAAGAGCAGCAGAGATCGGAAAACTATTAGTAGTCCTCCATGGATAAAATCTGAGCTTTAGAGTGGCAAGCAGAAAGTTGTAGTTTAAAAAAAATAACTATAGAAAATTAACATAAACAAATGATGCTATAAATATTCCAAAAAATCATAATAGATAAAGCAAATGTGGAAAAGACAATCTGGTTAAAAGTTGGGTCAAAAAAACAACAAATTGATGTATACTCGCAAAACAGTTTGGCTGAAAGTCCAACAATCCTTTTTTCAATAGAGCCTTTTTGAATCCAAATAAGGGAAATACATTGCTTTAAATGAAGCATACAGAAGTAAAAAAAAAAAACCCAAAATAAGAACAAACATAACAGGAGAAATAATAAGTACCCACAATAAGCATTAAAATCCTGCTTGCGTAAATGGTGTCGATATAAGTTTTTCATAAAAAACAAAACATTTTTTTAGGAGCTTCTTGACAGGACTAATATACGTCATTGCACTCCTAAAATACCAACAAGACTGGCAAATTATTAAATGGAAGCCATTACACATTTTCACACCAGAAGATCTTAAAGCAAGACGCTATGGTGCATTAGAAAACAAACCACACTATGAGCACATCTATACCATAATGCATGGTGCTGGCAGTATCATGCTGAGGGGGTGCTTTTCTTTAGCTGGGACAGGGAAGCTTGTGAGAGTTGATGGGAAAAACAAAATACAGGGCAAGACTGGAAGTAAACATTTTTCCTCAAGATTTGAGAATATAGGTAATCAGCCTCCAAATGGACAATGAGCTTAAACAGCAATAGAAGTGAAAGACCTAAATCTACGGTAATTGAATATGTGTGGCAAGATTTGAAAGCAATTTCTCATGTTCTACACTCTAAAACCAGCTAAACAGGGCTTGATCTGTTTCAAAAAGAAAATCCAACAAAAATGTCAGCTGGTAAAGATATATCCCAAGGATTTGTTGTTGTAATTGCAGGAAACAGTGTTTCTACAAACAATAGTGACTCAAAAGGCCCAAACACAAATCATGCCATACTTGTGATATTTTCCTTCCACCTGACAATTGGGTGCACATAAAAATCCCAGCAAAATATTAACTTTAAGTCATTTTATGCCTGACAGGTAACAATGTCACTCAATCATAAACTTAAAGAGGAATGCAACTGATAACTATGTATTTTTAGTACAATGAAAGTCTTGTTTTTTTTCCCCATTTCATTATGTTCTGGTTCTGAGGAAATCTAATTTCTGTTGAAGTAGTTTCCAACATAAAATGCAGTTTAAAAAGCCTCTTGATCACAACTTCAGGAACAATCTGATCTTCCGTCAAGTGATTTTTATTGATATTTGCAAATTAGGCACTGAATTACAAACCATAAAGAAAAAGAATTGGCTAAATCCCAAATGGCATAGAACAATATTTTATCACAATCTCAGAAAAACACTTCCCTGTTGGTAAAAAGGTTTCTCATCTTTATAAAAGTCTGTCAACAGACATAGTTGAAAATATGTACAATATCAAGGAAAAGTGGGAATTAGAAGCAAATACAGTAATAAAAAATGAGTTATCGGACAAACTCTGTTATAGCTGTCATTAAATTAATAGTGAACAGTGAAAGGAATTTGATTGGAAACTTAAAATACCTTATTTTCACACTCCTCTGGTTATCTCAAATTTTTTGAAAGATCCATCTACAGCTTTATGCTGGAGACAATGTGGTAAAATAGGCAACCATAAACATATATTTTAGAGCTGTCCAGTAATCTTTGCATATTGGAAAAACATTAAATAAGAGATGGAGAAATTTCCCTTAAAACATACAGTTTTACTTACAGGGTTTTATATCAGTTGATTTTTTTCAATGCTGACCAAAGATATATCCTACGAGTATTACTACTCATTGCCAAAAGAAATATTACTGTTAATTAGAAAAAGGTGAAATCACCAACTGTAACTGAATGTAAACAGAGACTAAAACAGATTTATGTGATGGAAAAAATGACTGCTTCATTACAACTGAAAACTGACCTATTTAATCAGAGATGGCACATGGTTAAAACATATTTAAATCTATAAATTACAGGGTTCATAAAGAAGGAAGAAGAGGGAAGAAAAATTAATAATAATATGGAAACCTGCTTTAACTTGTGTGGGTGTTTTTATTTTTTTATATATATATTTTATATCACTAAATTGTTGTATATTATTGTACCAACTGTACCACTAAGATGTGAAGAACATTCAAATTATGTACAGCAGGATATATAATGGATATCTTTATTATTATCATTATTCTTATTGTTTTCCCGTGTTTCAGATAAAGTTCTACGGTATTTGTATTGTTCTGTGAAAATTTTAAATAAAAAGTTCTACAAATAAATAAATAAATAAAAACCTTGATCTCTGCAAGAATTCTTCAAAAATGTATAGAAGAATTCATATCTCGCATCGAAAAGTATTATTTTTCAGAATTGGCCTAAAATTGTTGTAACCTATGAACAATCGTCACAAAAGCAACAGTTAATACACAAAGGAAGGGATTTCTCAGGCACAAAACTCAATAAAGTCAGTCAATCCGCAGATTTGCATCTATGATCCATTCTTTCCTGTCCAAAAGACCACGTCTGCTTTTGTTTGTATTATTTTAAGTGCACATGACATTTCAGCAATCGCAAATCTCTCTTTATGAGCCTTTTATGTTCAGTGTGTACTTGCGTACTGAATCGTACCAGTTCCAAAGCTCTCCTCCCCACATAGGGAACAGCGCCCAGAATCCATCAGGTTCCCAAAGTACCTCCAGCCTGTGGGAGTCTCATAAAGAGCCAACTTCATGGCTTTGGCTACCCTGCAAACAGCAGAGGAAAGAACACACAGAGAAACAAAAACAAAGTTTGTACCTTTCTTTTTATCAGATCAGAAGGGTGAGTGTGCAGGCAAATCAAACAAAGTATGACAGCGGCTTCCTGCCAACAGTTCATCCAATATCTTAATAAGGCAAAAAGCTGCAGGAACAAAATGAGTCAACCTTTCACTTTGAATCTTAACCTTTCTCATTTATAAACATTTAAAAAGGCAATTGTGAAAGCATTAGTATAAAAGGAAAATTTAGAGGGATCTGTTTAAAGGAATTGCAGACCAACCTCAAAGCATCCCTTTAATTAACTTTCTTACTTTCTAATTTCTCAACAACATTGAGGTGTTTAAAAATAAAGTCTAAGAAAGCAAAAAGATGTGAAAATGTTCTTTTTAAGACACTTTTAGACATCTGTGGGTTTTCTGTAGGCTTCAAATGAGAACAACACTTCAAGCAGAAAACAGGAAGGGTCAGTGAATTATAGCAAAGTACATTTTCAGCTTACAACCTCTACCTTTAATGGGGCATACCAAATTTAGAGAAAGTAAAAATAATTTAGAAACATCATAGTTAGGGTAAGGACTTAACTTCTCTAGAGAGTGCAAACAGAAACAGTTGGTTTTATGAGGATATTCATGCTTATTGCTGATATAAATCTTAAATAATTACTCTCTTAGATACTTGCTGTCACACTGTCAAGGCCATGAAGAGAAATAAAGACTGCTAATGTCAGAAGACCAGAGAAAAAAATGGAAAGCTTTTCTCATATACCGGTATACAGCGGGGAGAATACATTTTCCTTCCTGATTTTGTGAGTTTTCTCACCTGCAAAACTCTTAGAATGCTTTAGTTTATATATTTGATACTCCTCAACTGACTCACCTGAATGACAGAATATAAAATAAATATCCAAAAAACCCCACTGTGTGAATTTTAAATAATTTTTATGTTTTTACATTACTTAAGCCCACTAACCAGTGGGATTTCACAGGTTAGTTGGTCCTCTTTAAGAAGCTGAACCTGTTTGAACTCTTTACCTGTATAAAAGACACCTGTCGACACACTCAATCGAATAAATGACAACCTCTACATGATGCCCAAGACCAGAGAGCTGTTTAAGGGCATCAGGGGCTCGACATTGGGGAGTGGCTGCCTAGTTTTTAGGGCATAGAGCTTGGAATCCCGAGGTTCTGAGTTTGAGCCCCACTCCCTCAGACTGTCACTCTTGGTCCCTGAGCAAAGACCCTTAACCCCCCACTGCTCCCCGGACACCGCACAATGGCAGCCCACTGCTCCACAAGGGGGAGGGTTAAATGCAGAGATTGAGGCCCCGTCCACACGAAGTCAAAACGAACACGAAACGCTGATATTTTCCAAAACGTTTGCCGTAAAGACGGAGACGTAAAATAAATGTGATTATCCACACGAATGCATGAAAACGCTGCAAAATGTATGCCAGGCCTGTAAGTGGCGCTGTGGTGCCAAAGCAAAAATAAGCGACGAAATGTTGGGCATGCACACTAATATTTATACATGGTTGCCCTGCGGGTCCATTTTCGTGGTTAAGTCAAATTCAGGTGCTGAACTATGTCGTCGATATTGCTCTGTTCTTCCTGGAGATATTCCAGAAGAAGAAGATTCTGTTGTAAGCCTGACAGCAGGGTGAGTAGCATGAGCAGCAACCATTCAACACAGTACGGCGCCATTGTTGTTGTGATACTGTGTCGCGCATGCGTGTTTAGAGGCGACGCTATGACGCATGCGTGTAAAAAAAAAAAATGCGGTTAGAGCGTAAAGATGGAAACGCGAAAACGGCGTTTCGAAATCTTCCCACTCTGAAGGCTGAATAAAAAAAAGATCGTTTACAGACCCCCGAAACGCCGGCTTCGTGTGGATGAGAGGCTGCTTTGGTGAAAAATTTGTGCGTTTAGGCCAGGGTTCGTCTTCGTGTGGACGGGGCCTTAGTTGCTCTGTAATTGTGACTGTGTAATGAAAATAAAAGCGTGCAAAAAAAAAGAAAAAAGGACTGGTGTCTTATTGAGGGGAGATTGGATTTGTTTTCCCCACTCTACTTGTACAACAGTTCGTAAAGAAACACAACACTTAACAAAAGCTCAACAAACCAGGCTAAATTTAATGACAAATTCAGAGGGAAGTTTTAGAGGCAACAGTTTGGCCTGTCTAATTATAAAAAAAAGTGCAACGTCACAGTATGAACTACAGGATGTTGTCATGTATCCTCATCAGTGCAGACTATAAACACCAAGATTTGCGAAAGTAAATATCCAAACCAACTTGACAGATGTTTCAGCCATAAGGGACAAACATGTGGACTTGTCAATCCCTTTAAACCCACTATGTGTTATATGTGAAAGAGGGTATTTTTCAGGGATTTAAGGGCTGGTGAAAACATCTACATAATAATCATGCACATAAATAAACCTCTGAAGAGTTCATCGGAGTTGTTTACAAGAAGAGGGAATAAATGACCAAATATGAGTAAACCAGCTTGATCTCCCCCCGGAGATGCAAGCACTAGAACGGAAAGCCTGGCATTCCTTAAAAGAAAACAAACAGACCCCATCTGATGAACGTTTGGCGTTTTAAATAGCACGTCCACCGGCCAAAATAAGCCCCTAGTCTGAATGCAGGGGAATGTTTTTTTTAGTGAGATTGCAAAATTACAGAGACAAAAAAGCTGTGAGAATCAGTTGCCGTTTTCCTTAGTAACTGTACTGACTGACTGAGAAGGAAGCGCAGGGACTAAGCAGTTCATAGTTAAAGCGACTGCAGGGCCCCCTGACTCGCCACGGTGGGTTTAGTTTGAGCAGCTGATGAGCGAACGTTGAGCTCTTTCTTCTGTTTAGAAAGGGGAGCTACTGTATATACAACAGAGACCTTGTTCCTTTATCTTCCTTATCTTGTCCCACATTTCCAGCAACGGAAGAACAAATTTGACAAGAGTGACTGAAAGAGAAGGGAGTCTCAGACGTTTTATTTACAAAAAAAAGTTGTATAAAGACCATTCAATATAAAAATCAATACTGGGCAAAGCCAGTGCAAATATACTAATCCATACTGAAAAAATTATTAAACGGGATGTCATGCAAACTGCAGTAAAACATTCATCTAGGGGCGCTATATCTGCTTTTTATTACCTTTAAGGATATCAGACAAACAATGTTTTCAAAGCAGAAATAATAGAGGTTTTCAATTGACAGATTCAACCATCTGGTGTCTTCCTCTGGGATCTAAGGGTTTCAGACTTTGCATTACATAATAACCAGTTACCAATGACAGTCAAAAGCATTATGAAAAATAAATCTCACACATACTTATTAACATTGGATCCCAAAGTTGCACAGACCTCTGAAAACCCAGATAAAATTAGGCCAATCTAAATATTTTCAAACTAAAAACGCTCATATAGGGAAAATATAAAAGCACATGAATGCTAAAATATTAACAAATCTCTATTTTAGTTTAAGTTAGTTTAGTTTATTTATTTTCTCTCAATGCACCTTTTGCATGACCATATTATTCTGTGAAAAGCACTGAGATATTAGCCTTCTCTACCATTTACCAAACAGCATCTGGTTGCTTCATTTACCATCTCCCCCTACAAGGAGAGCACAGTCAGGACTTGCAATGTCATACAGAAAAAAGCTGCTGCAGCATATAAGCATTATTTAAGCTAGCGATGAAACGTGTCTCAATAGTAGCTGCATTCTTTTCAATAAAGAATGCAGCTACTACACACAAGGCAGCACTGTTAAATCTAAAAGTAAGTGTATGGCTTTTATAAATGTTGTTTCATCATCTTTTTCTTCTGACACAAAGTCATATATGTTTTCTGGGACTTTCCAGACATTTACATAACATATTAAAATCCGCCAAAGGGAGAGGTGTTCTTGCACAGTTGGAAGCCATATTTTCTTGTGTCCTATCAAAAGATTGCCATTAACCTATCAAAATTTAACAACTTTTATGATTTAATTGACCTGACTCTGTGAAGTGTGTTTAGATGACATGTCTTGTAAAATTCTCCAAGGAGGAAGTGACCAAAGGCTGGCATCACATTGGAGAAATTTACCTCTGCATTTAACCCATCCCCTTGGGGAGTAGTGAGCTGCCATCGTGGGGCGCATGGGGAGCAATCGGGGGTTAAGGGTCTTGCTCAGACAGCTCAGACTGTGGGAATGGGTTTTGAGCTCACAACCTCAGGATTCCAAGCTCTATGCCCTAACCACTAGGCAGCCCCTCCCCCTAATTAATTAACATCATTTTTTTCTTTCTAGGTTGTTTACATCTGTGATAATTAGTTGTTATTGCTTATGAAGGTAATGTGTTAGTCAGTGAACCAGCTTCTTCCACTACATCCTCCACCCCCAAAGTTAGGAAATGCAGATGTTTCCTTCAACATGTCAATGCCACAGCCCTCTTCTCCATGACTGCATCAGCTGTTTCTTAGTTTGTGCCAAGAATGGCACAGGAATTCAAGCGCGTGCAGTACAAGATCTGTCAATTGGGCAAGGATTGATATAACAGCCAAACACAAAGGACAGCATTGCACAGAGAATACACCCTGTAGCATCCAAAAACTGATAAAGCAGCAAATGATTTCACAGTTCAAACCCTCAAAGACGCTTTCCAAAAAAGGCATAAACTTGGGCTGTCTGCAGCATGCACACACTACACCACCAAGCATTTCAACACTTCCTGGAGTTTGTCAGAGACATGAAAACCTTTACCCAAGTGTTACTTTAGGAATATGAGAGGTAGCAGTCTGGTTGTCAGTTAAGGAAAGTAGCATGGCTTTAAAAATCTCAAGTATTTTTCTGCAAGATTGATTTAAAGAAATTAACTGTGGATGTGTTGTTTGTCATGCACAATATAAAGGAACATAAATTATTGATTTTGATATTTGTCTCCCTGAAGTAGACACGAAATATAAGGCATATTATTATCACTGCAAAGACGAAAGGATAGGCAAACACTGGATGTATTTTCAATTCTATTGTGCAAACAATAGAATTGTGCAATTTAAAAATGCACATGCAGACAAGAAAACTGCAATGATGTCATCATAATGTTCTGCATTAGCTCCTGGATATTTTTGTCAAACTATGAATACAACATTGAACCACTAACATCTTTAATCTCCATTATAAAATCAATAGTGTGCCACCCAGCTCCTGAGGAGTTAATCTATAAAAACCTTAGATTTTCATACATGACAATTTACTGAATGTGTGTTGATGTGACTACTGTACCTGTCAAGGGCCGCACTTGTGGCCATACTCCTGGCAAAGCCTCTGGCACCATGTTGTCTAAAGTAAGGGATGGTGGAGAGGTTGGCAGCTATAATGGCCACCGAATCTGATGGGTTGACGAAGAAGCCGTTTTCTCCAAGGATCATGTATCGGTCCTGGTACAGGCAAACCATATAGGAAAATAGAAGTGAAATGTAGATTATGAACATAACCTTTAGCCTCCAATTAACAAACCCCTTTGATGTGCAGTGCCGGACACTGCACACGAAGCATGCTCCTTCTGAAATGTGATGAGCAGATGTTCCAGAAATGTCTTTTTCAGTGATTAACTGAACTGCATTATTATTGACATACCATTATTTGTCACTATCTTGGCACTGATGCTTAATTGCTCATTCCATTCACCTGTCTAACTCTGCCCAGTTTCTCATCACTGCTCAACTGATTATCCTGCTCCTACCTCTATTCAAGCTGCTTGCATCCAGTCAACAGGACGTGATTATTCTTGTTCTCATCAGCTAGTGGTGAGTGTTTTTAGAGTTCCTTGGTGTTTCTGATTTACTGAGCTGTTCTGCCTCTCAACCACTGAGCCTGCCTGTTCCTGTTCTAATCTGTTTGCCTTACCTGGTTTCGGACTCCTGCATGTTCTCCGGGGATGCTGCATCTGGGACACTCTGGGCGGCGCTGCCACATCATATTGGCAGCCCACCGGCTTGATCTACCTCGTTCTCTGGGCATGGACTAAACTTGTAAACCAGGTTTGTGACTCATATTCATAATCTTCCTCAGTCAGGTTATCTTGGTCACTAATCTGTGTTTACTCTCTCCAGAGTTTCCTGTCTCAGACACCGCTGCAGCTGTTACCACAGATCCGTTTGATTTTTTTAAATGCCTTTTGAGTTATCTCACTGTCTGCCTTGCCTGAATACCGGGTCCCTGTTCTGAGTCATGACATTATTTGCCCTTATTGTTTATTCCTCTTCTAATAACCAGCAAACATTTAAAAATAAGAATGCATTTCTGTTTTAAACAGGGTCAAGGTAAAAGGGTTTCTCTATCCCTTTCTGTCAAAAATTTCCAACTGTCATAATGGTGATTAATAAAAAGGACAAATTATACATAGTTGTGATAAGGAATAAATAAGACACGATATTGTATTACAAAATAAAGTGACTTCAGAATAAATGTTAGAAATGCTTAGGAACGTTTCGGAGAAACTGTGATTAAAGTTTAATACATAATATATTCTGTAACAAGAAATTAACATCTACAAGCAAAACTCCTCACTCTGTGGTGGCATTTATGATCAAATAGTTGAGAGTAAGAAACAATGCAATGCTACAACAGATTGGTGCCAAATAGACGTATTAAAAGTGGATTTAGTGTGAATAAACTAGGCTTTTGGAAGGGCCATGGCATCAACAAATTAAAATATATTACAATTATACCAGGGAAACATATGCTTTTTCTTTAACCTTCTAAACAGTATTAATCCAGTTTTTAGTGGGGATGTGAGCTTCTATCAATAACATCAACTCTTCTTTGGAGAACTGAAAATCTGCAATAAATTCAATCCTAATTGGTTAATGTGTTGAAGTTCTCAGCTTTGATAATGTAACAACCAGTTCTTGTGTTAATATATAACGCTTTACCCCGTCTGCATCAAATGCAGCTCCAAATCCAAACTCGCCCCCTTTCATTGCATCAACCAGAGAGGTGGCGTAGGTCAGGTTGGGCTCCGGTGGCCGACCTCCAAAGTCTTCCAGTGGGACGCAGTTGACGGCGGAGTTTGCCGGAGCCCCTAACTCATCGCACAGGATCCTTCTCACATAGGGGCCCATCACTATGACAGCCAAAGGAGCACATTTGCAATGTAACTCATAAAATATATTTGATTTACAGCAAAAAAAACATAAATTGATCAATGTTTACTACACTGGACGGCTAACTCGCCTCCATTCATGGCATCTATATGTATCTTCAGCTGATCTGGTCCTGTGAGTAGACTCTTAATGGCAGAGAAGTCAAAGATGTTTCGCAACAGTTGTAGATAGACGTCAACAGAGTCTATAATCTCCACTGAAAAAACAGATGCAGGAATGTGCAGAATGGATTTTAGATTTATCTAACACATACAATCCTTTGTAGTATCCTTCAACAAGGGATTCAGAGTTGTCGTGGCTAATTCTGCATTAGTTTTGTACCTCTAAATGGTTTAAACTTGTTTTCAAGATCAAACTCTTGCCTCCCCAGTCTAGAGAGATCAATGCGGAGATCAGGACAGATGGCGTACTCCTCCAGGGTCCGGCTCACCTGGGAGATCCTCTCTATTACTGTATCAGTAGATGGGCCTTCAATTCAAAGAAGACATTCAGAAACATCCCAAAAGCATAGGTTCCAACTGCTTCTAATGTTAAAAAAATGGACGAAACAGAAATGAGAAGACAACAAGAAACCATGCACAGCACACACCTCCATTAGCCACATTGAACTTGATTCCAAAGTCTCCACCGGGACCTCCAAGGTTGTGGCTTGCCGTGAGGATAATCCCACCAATCGCCTTAATCTTCCTTATGATGCAGGACACGGCAGGGGTGGAAAGAAGTCCATTGAGACCGATTACAAGACGACCAATCTGTGTGGAACAGATGTTAGAGAATAAAAAATCAGAAATTCACTCATCATACAGCACCCCGAAAAAGTATTACATTCCTTAAAAAGTTTCATATTTTATAATGACCTCAAACTCCTTTCTGTTTTTTTGGGACTTTTAGTGGTAGGAACAATAGAGTAAATAATGTGCAGTGGATTATAAAGGTCACATTCCCCTAAAAATCATAGATGTGTATGTTGAAAAAAAATGTTTCAAGCCAGCAAAAATAAATACAGGGAGACTAAGGTCCTATTTACACTACCCTCTGAAAACCGATCCGTGCCGAGTTTGCATCAGTTAACCGTACAGCTTGGTTCCTTACGACCATTTACATACTGCACTAGCACAGTTCCTCGCCTCCTAGTGACAATCTACGGTACTGTTGCTCTCTAGAGGGGAACAAGCAAATCAACATGGCGACGCCCGTAACATTCAGGAAATTTGCAGAGAGTCAGACGAAGAAGGCATCCTTTGGTGAATTTACTTGACAGAGTCGGCTTTTGGGAAGTGGATACAACAAACTATTATCTAATCAGGGCAATCATCACTGGAAATCTTGTGGCAAGCTAGGGAAGCTAGTATTTTTATGAATGTTGGTTGTGGCTGGCGTGGTCCGGTTCAGATGTGCCTGCCATTTACACTAAACAGTTATCTCAGTTACTGTGCTTGAATTGATCTTGGCACGGTTTCAAAAGGGTATTGTAATTGGGGCTATAATGAAAGTGATAAACGAGTAAAGGGGGGCTTAAAGCATTCTGTTTAGTTATATTAAGATTAGATGCTGGTGAAGTTTCTCAGTCATCCATAGCCATTCCACAAATGAATCTTAAAAACAATCCACTGGACTTTGTTTCCAAGTTTGAAGACGTTTTTCTTCCCATCCAATGAGCTTTTTCAATTCAAAAAGTCAGAAATAGCGTTGAGTCAGAGGTTTATACAGTAGCCCAACAAAGCGTACTTTTTGTTTTGAAAACATGCAAATTGAAACATACGTCAGGGTCCACCCCTTTGGAATGGGCGTCGTTTCACTTCTTTTGTTAGCCTGCAATGCACCATACCCGTCTAAGTGTCTGAAAGGGGGGTCATTAAAGGGAATTATTGGCCTGGATGAATAGGCACGGTCCCCCACTCTCCCATCCAAAATGTGAACATTCTGGCCCACAAAAGAATGTCCTTTGTCCATAAGGTGTAGATATACCAAAGAGTCTTGTCTAGAGGAGGCCGCTCTTCTGTGTTGGGCCATGCGTCTGTGGAGAGGTTGTTTGGTTTCTCCAATATAAACATCAGAGCATTACTCACGGCGTTGAACTGCATACACTACTCTGCTCATATTTGGTCTAGGGGTTTTGACCTTAAAATGCACTAGCCTCTGTCTAAGGGTCTTGTTATGTTTGAAATGTACTGGAATTTTGTGTTAGCTTAAAATCCTCTCTAAAATCCTCTAGACTACAACAACATATGGGATAACGTTGTTTTTGCATTTAATTTTCTCACCGTTATGTTCTGCTGCCTCTTTTAGATTAACTTGCTGATTTGACAAACGCCCAGTTTGGGTATCCGCAGGTTTGAAGAGCATCTTTGATGTGTTTCTGTTCTTTGTGCGTCCCTTCAGCTTTTGTAAGGACATGCTCAGCACGATGTTGTAAGTTTTTGATGACTGAAAGTTTGTGTTCCAGTGGGTGATGTGAGTCAAAAAGAAGATATTGGTCTGTTTGAGTGGATTTCCTATAGACTTCAATGTTGAGGTTTCCATCTCCTTCCATGCTCACCAAACACTCAGAAAAGCTTGTAGCTTGTTGTTGGTGGCATCCTCTCTGGTGAATTTGATGTTGTGGTCGACCAAGTTAATGTGTGTTCTGAAAGTTTCAACTTCTTTTAGCTGGAATTTGACAAATGTGTCATCCACATATCTAAACAAATGGCTTGGTGGTGTTCCTCTGAAGGTGTTTAAAGCACTCTTTTCCATTTCTTCCATGTAAAGATTGGCAACAATTGGTGACATTTGCTGAAACCAGAGCTCAACCCCTCTGTTTAAGGTTGTTTTTTTCTTTCTTAATTAACATGCCCCTCTCAAACGACCTATTTTCTTTGTCCACGATGTGAACATTCTGGCCCTCAAAAGAATGTCCATTCTCCAAAAGGTGTAGATGTACCACAGAGTCTTGTATAGAGGAGGTCACTCTTCTGTGTTGGGCCATCCCTTCCCTTAATGGCCCAACAATTTAAGGGAAGGGATGGCTCACTTGGGCCTGCAATACACTGAGGGCCGGATTTATCAAGATCCAATTTTGCATGCAGTAATTTGCGCTCGCAAACTGGAATTTTGCGCGTGGGGCTGAACCATGGTTTGCGGGTGATTTAACAAGAGCGATTGCGTAACTGGTGGCAGGTGCAAAACTGTTGGAGACGCCCTATTTAAATGAGGGTTTT